ATAGCAAATATTGCAGAAAAACTAAACATATCTGTTCCAAGATTGTATGAAGTATTTTGATTTAGTGTTATAACATAAAAAGTATTTTAATTTTGTTATTTCATCGACTGAATCTGCTATTTGTTGTTTGCTGAGTTTTAATTTTGTTGTAGACAGTTGTAGGTTTTATTCGTATGTATTCAGCTTCCACTGAATTAAAACTAGGACCGTAGCCAAACTTAATAATTGCAAAGGAACATAGAAATTTGTACAAGTTTTCTTGTTGAAATGTCTGATTATATAATAATAATTAATCATAATATAACACATGTATAGAAGGATAAAACAAATAAAAATAATAACTTGTTTAATTTATTTATTAAAACAAAATATCTTATTTAATAAATATATTTTTTAACTTATAGATTATATTGTAATCTGATTGTTAAGATTAGCAGAAATAAACAAAAAATAAAAAAAATCAATAAATGTATATGGCGCGATCATAACTTCTGCCGCCGCGATAGTAGCCACTGACGATGATTACCGCCGCCACGTCGATCGCCGCGATAATTACCGCGGCCACGGTAGAAGTTATTCCGGCCGCTGCCATTGTTTTTGCTGCCACGGTCTTGGCCTTCTTTTTCCTGGCCGCTGCTATTTTCATTCCTGCCTCGGTCTATAATTCTGTTGTCCGGGAGCAAATTTATTTGAATTTTCTTGAAGATAATTCCGACAGCATTCATGTCATACTCTGTTATAAAAATATGGTAATAATGGATTTTGTGTATAATTGTAAATAATATTACTGAGCTTATACAAAATTTTCAAATTTCTGCGAGGATAGATAGAAAATGAATTAAGTATTTCTTCTTTGACCTGCTTTTTGAAAAGTTTCGAGTGACATTCGATGAATTAAAGTAAAAATCTAATAAAAAGTATATATGTAGAGCAGGGCAAGGCACAAAGGTCCAATTTGACGTTGAGCAAATACAAACTCTATTATAAAAATCAAATCAATTATATCACAACAAATTACGCTTCTATAAAAATTTTCGAATTAAAAGTGTAAAGTTTTTACGCGATTTTGAAATAATATATCACCTTTATAATATATTTATATATATATGTATGTATAAGTATGTATGTATATGCTATAATATAGAAGAAATATATACCATAATCTGCGGCAGACACGGCACACAGCCCAACGGTATGATTGAGAAAGGATTTGGTCCAAAAGACCTCTCCTATTTTGGTCGGTCTCTTGGATGCATCATCCAAACTATAAATATATTTTTTTAATTACGCACATGTCCTAAAGAATAAAAAAGTGGATTTAAATAAATTACTTACACAATTCTCTTCTCCCAATTTGATTTTTTATCCAAATCCGTAAAAACTATTAATATTTCATTGCCCGGGATTTCACTCACGCTTCTATATCTTTGAATAGCATTAGCAATTTTTTTTTATTCCTTTGTATCTGTAATTGAATTTGCACACTACAGGCGGGCCCGGTAATAATATATAATATTATAATAAATTCAAATCTATCCAATATATATATATATATATATATATATATATATATATATATATATCTCGTGTCACGATGTTGGTTCGCGATGGACGCCCAAACTACTAGACCGATTTTAAATTTTAATGGCTCATCGTGTGCATATATATCCAACTTAGGTTATAGGAAATTTTGAAAAGTAAATTTGAAATATAAATATATAATTTTTATAAATTTCTAAAAATTTTGACAGAAAATGACCAAAAAAAAAACAAAACACTAAAATGACAAATGTCAAAATTAAAGGAAATTTGGATATATAATTTTTGAAAAAAAAATTGACATTTCAAAAAATAAAATTCAAAAACATGTACATATATAGAAATATCCAACATTTTGAAATGCTACATACAAAATCACTGATTATAGTTTTAAATCTAATTAAAAATCAATGCTTAAAAATTTAAATAAATGTTGACATGAAAAAAAAATAAATGTCATCTGTCAATATTTATGAAAATAATTATATAAATAGATTTATGATTTAGATTTAATTGATTAGCTTACCAAATTATTTCGGAAACCAAAACTTCATTAAAACCTTATAGATTAGAGATCACAATAAAAAAGCGGCACTTGAATTTAAAAATAATCATAACCAAAATTTTGACATGTCACAAAAAAAGAATGTTTAACGAGTTACTTCAATAAGACGCAAATAAATTAATTATTACAAGTTATGTTACAGAAAATATTGCCTAACAAATTATAGATACAAAACAATATTGTAAAATAAATATTTTCAAAAAATTTTGACAGAAAATGGCCAAAAAAAAACAAAACACTAAAATGACAAATGTCATAATTTATGGAAAATTTGAGAAAAAAAGATTTATGATTTTTGAAAAACAAAAATTGACAGTTCAGAAAATATAATTCAAAAACATGTACATATATAGATATATCCAACATTTATATCCAAATTAGATGAAATGCTATATTCAAAATTACAATTTATAGTTTTAAATCTAATTAAAAGTCAATGTTTATAAATTTGAATAAATGTTGACATGAAAATCGTCAAATGTCATTTGTCAAAATTTATGAAAATAATTATATAAATAGATTTACAATTTATATTTATTTGATTAGCTTACCAAATTATTTCGGATACCAAAACTTCATCAAAACCTTATAGATCAGAGATCACAATAAAAAAGCGACATATTGAATTTAAAATTAATCATAAACAAAAATTTGACATTTCACAAAAAAATGTTTAACGACTTCAATAAGAAACAAATAAATTAATTATTCCAAGTTATATTGCCGAAGAAATTATAGATACAGCACAATATTGTAAAATAAATATCATAGATTAATTTTCGACCAAAAAGGAAATATTTTGACATTTACAAATATACTGCATATTGAATATATGAAATTGACATTCACTATTTTTCAATTAAATGAAAATGTAAAAAATCAAATATTTATATAAAAAATTGTATATTCAGATGAAGATACTGATTTGTTAATTTAGACTGAAACCTGATTTATTCATTAATTTTAAAAAAAATTGGCATAAACAAAATTAAAATAAACAAAACACCTGCATCATGCGTTGGAATTAATTATCGAAGTGTAAAGAAATTTGTGTAATTAAAATAAAATATCATTATTATATGAGTTGAGATAAATTTTGATTGCCATCGCAAACGTTAATCATACAGAAAATTGTAACCTCTTAAATGGAATAGTACAATCTGAAGGTATCATTGCAATCTGACAAAAATAAACTAGACAAACTAAATACTATATCATATTATATTAAATTTCGATCCAAAAGAAAATATTTTGACAGTTATAATTAATTTGAAATGAAATGCAAATGTCAAAAATCAGATCTTTATGTAAAAAAATATTTATTTCCACAATATTCCCGTGTTGAATTTGCACTTTTTTATGAATTTAGCAAGCATATAATATATTCATTGATCACTTAAAATAATTATTAATTTATAATAAATAAATATTGACGTATTTGACATGACAAAAGTATAATAAACAAAACGCTATGATGCGAGTGAATTAATTTTTGAAGTATGAAATGTCAAATAATTTTGAAAATTATAACAAGTTTTTAACTATTTGTCAGAAAGAATATATTTTATTACAAATTCATACCCATATCAAGCACCAAAGTAATAAATACTATTTATAAAATGGCATATTATTTATAGACAATATGATTTTAATGCATATTTTAATTATATGTTTTATATAAATATCAAATAAATATATTTATGTTTCACTTGATTTTAATGAAAATAATTCAATGCCAAAATAAAAAGTATACATCTAAAATTATAGTCTAAATATTACAATTTTGATAAATAATCATCCATTATTGTACAGTACAGTAAAAGTACAAAAATTGATAAAAAATTAATAAAAGTGCCAAAAATCAAACATTTTATAGATTTGGACTCGGATTTCTCAGAACTTTATCCATGTTAGTTTCAGGGATAGTATGAATATCAATTTGCAGTCGAAAATTTATATGATAAGTGATTAAAACATTATAGATCACAATAAAAAAGCGACATATTGAATTTAACATTAATCATAAACAAAATTCTGACAGTTCAAAAAAAAAATGAATTTTTAACGACTTCAATAAGATACAAATAAATTAATTATTCCAAGTTATGTTATAGGCAATATTGGCAATCAAATTATAGATATAAATTATATCATATTATATTAAATTTCGAACCAAAAAGGAAATATTTTGGCATTTAAAAATTTAGTGCATATTGGATATTTGAAATTGACATTCAATATTTTTAAATTAAATGCAAAAGTAAAAAATCTGATATTTATATAAAAATTATATATTTAGATAATGGTACTGCGATGATTCAGACTAAAATCTAATTTATTCATTGATTAAAAATATTTCACTATTTGACATAAATAAAATTAAAATAAACAAAGCACTATGATGCGTTCGAATTAATTATCAAAATGTAAAGAAATTCGTGTAATAAAAATGTAACATTATTATTAATATATCATGTATATTATAAGAACTTTTGCAATGCGGAAAAATATTTTTGATGGCAAAACAGCGTTTGCCGGGTCAGCTAGTATATATATATATATATATATATATATATATATATATATCTAAATAAATAAATACCTTGTATGATATCCATTATATATTTTGCTTCCACTCAAGTAACCGAACTTCTCAACTCAACAAATTTTATACAACTCACCGTACCAAATTGCATTTGGGCCTTTTATAACTTTTTTTCATCTAGTTGAAGGCGCTTTCCACGATTTTGAATATAGGTCAATAGAGTTTCTTTATATGTGTAAGTGCAAGTGGAGCTTTCTCGCTCAGATGTAATAGTAGGAGCGCCAGTGAACTATTGGACTAACTTGTTTTCACAAAGCTAGTAATTTCTTTAATGATATTTAATAATAGCAATTAAAATATAACTGCAGCTAATATTGTGTTCGTATTTCCTATATTTAATATGTCTGTATAAAAGAACTATATAAAAGACAAAGTTAAAAATATAAGCAGATATATAACATATGATTAATAATTTCGGAAAGCAGATTTTACAAAAAACTATTTATTTATTCCACACCGATTCTACAAAATAAGAAACCATATTTTCTATCCCGATCGAGCAATACAAATCCGAAAAATATTTAAAAAAAATTCAAAATGATTTCTAAAATATTAAATTCTGCTTCAATAAAACGTATAAAACAATATGCGACTTATCAAACAGATGCGACGATTGAAAGAGTCTATATATTACGAGCAAATATTTATATTATTCCATTACACTTATCCTGTCGATTGTTTAATTTTTAATGATTGTTTTAATAAAAATTTTAAATTGATACTTGTTTCCCGAATTTTTATGAAAGGGTATGGGCGCATTGCCATACAGAATCGGCCCCACCCTGGTATTTAAATAATTTATACGCCATTTTATAGGTCTATTTGATAAAAACCGATATACCACTTTTCAACTTTGTACCTCATGGCCGAGATATCATTGAAAATATGCCAAAGTGGCCCCTTCTTTCAAACTCAATTTTTGGCGTAACCATAAAAGATATCGAAAAAAAATTTACGTGATTCTACTCACATTGACTCAGACCACATTATGTAGAACAATCGATTCCGAAAAATCGTTTACTATTAGCTTAAAAAGACAAAATAATTTTTCAATTGATTATTTCGGGTAGTGCATTTATTTGGACCACTTTCTAATTAACGTTATTCGAAAGCCTATTGTTTTTCCTTTGAGTACTGAAAATATTGTTCAAATCAGTTTAGTGGAACACATTGGAAGATTGAAAAAAACAGAGCCAGTACACCCGCGCGTAACGCTAATAGTACCCTGCAATTGCATAGAGTTCGTTCGGACGCAAAACAGTGCGCGATGCGCCGAAACGATTCTTAAGAAATTGTGAGTGCGAAAATATTTATTTTATAGTTATATATGTATAAATTCACAGAGTTTGAAATAAAGCCCTTATTGTGACCATTATTTATCATTACTACAATTTCACAGTCATTTGATGTAAATATATACCTCTAACAAATTATAGCTAGTTTCAACTAATTATCCTAGGTCCTCGTAATACATCCACTGTTTTGTTCATAAAGCTACTAAATCCATGGTCAAATGCAGGTATTTTTAGGGGCAAATTATGGATTCTAAGGTAGCCCTTCAGGTTTGGGAATGGCAAAGCTATAGAATATTTTACATGGCAAGATCTTTAATCTCTTGGACCTTAATAGTATTCTTTTGAATTTTTAAGCTTTTCTTTCAGAAAGATTTTGGAGACTTCGATGGGTAATTATTAGAATGTTAGCTAGTCAGTAAATTACAAAATGGAATAGGAAGAAGTTTCAATATGCAATGTACACCTGTTATAACCTTACCTTCACACAATGCTTTAAAACAAAGTATGCTTTATTAGCTGGTATAATATTAAATTGAACAAGTTTACAAAAACGCTCCAACACTTCACGACGTTTGCTTATTTGAATCTCATGTTCTTCGTGTCTTCCTACAATAAGATAATAACAATAACATAATTACAAAAGTCTTCTAGTAAAGTCATATTACTTTTTTCTTTTACACAAACTGTGTTATGCATATAAACAAAAATCTAAACATAAATGTGATTGTTAAGTTGTGTTAGATGCATCTTTGAGTGAAAAATTCTATTTGGCATCTCAATTTATAATTGAAGCTTAAAAGTGTATCAACATGCATCACAACAGATATCAAACAACCAACTAATAAAATATGTTCAAAAACTTTCCCAGTAAATAAATATATTACAAATCTTCAGACATTTTACAAAATCTTCAGCTGATTATATGAAAATTTTGTAAATTGTCTGAAAATGATGTGGATTTTCTGACAATTTACAAATTTTCATATAATATATACCATCTTCAGACAATTTTCGCTCTGTGTATCTTTCTATTCAACATTTTTTGTTGGCACTTGCATTAGAAGTTCCACTTCAATAAGGAATATTTGAATTAATTTTATTGTAATTATTACCTGTCCAATGTTTTGTGAAAACATACTCTTCTGCATACTTTTTTATTAGCTTTATGTCATCCGAGCTGAGTTTTAAAACTAAGTCGTGTATTATTGGGTTTTGATGGTCGGCCAGTTCTCGGTTGAAATTCGCGGCTAAAGAACATATTGCAATCAAGGCCTAAAATGTTAGAAATTAATTTATTAAAAGTACAAAAAATATTTCAGCAACTTCGATAAAACCAAAATAGGTTGTAATTGTTCAAAAATCGCGAGTGCTTGCCATGTCGTCCAAACCTAACATGACGCTTTCCCATACATTTTTGATTAGGCTTGGATTGGACATAGTGAGCGTTACTTCAATCAATATTTTTACTAGAAATGGTTAAAATTACGAACAAAATAAAAATCATAGCCCAATCTACTATTTATGTACCTTATTGATAATAAAATTTAATAAGGATACTATTTTTGGTGGACAACCCCGGAGCACCGATTATTCGATTTGAATTACTCAAAAAGCATTCGATTCCCATTGATGAACAGACTGATAGAGGTAAATTGGTTTTCAAGTAGACTTGTAGGTGAGCAGGTGAATACATAGACAGGCAATCAGATGGACAAGTAGACGTGTGAACTGAAGAGTTGTGAACAGGTTAACAGGTTAACAGGTTAACAGGTTGGACAGTAAACAGGCAGCAAGGTAAAACTCTTGACAAGTAGAAGGTTGAAGAAGTTGGAGACAGGTGGACAGGTAGACAAGTAGTTCATGTATAGTTTAAAACAATATTGAAATTTGCCTTACAATTAGTATTACTTTAAATTTTTGATTTTTTCAAATCAACTTACAGCTTGTTGCAGATCATCATGAGTGACATTTTTTACGATGTCCTTGCAGATTTCAATATAATTTTTCAATTTTAACTCTAATATATCGGCTCGTTTCATACAAGCCATAGCATTGAGTACCATATTATTTAGATCCATATCTTTTACTTCCATCAATTCCCAAGATAAATATGTGCCGTAGGAAAGTAGGCAGTATATCGATCCCTAAAATATATTTTGATAGGAGTATGAATTAGTTAAATTAGTTATGTTTAATCTTTGATCTAATTGACATACCTCGATAGGAAGATTTCAATGACACCATTCTTAAACACTTTAAATTCTTCTAAAAAATCATCCCATATATCTAAATAATTTATGTTATGTAAATAGTGGAAAATGTATATTTTCTTCAGAGAATTTACAATCCGAGGAAAATCCTCTTTCTTAGCATATTTTGGATCCATTTGCTAGAAAGAAAAATTATTTCTGATCAAGAGATGAATTGTTTGACAACTTTCTACACATAACAAAAATGTAATTCGTACCCCATTCACAATACTTAGCCATACAAGATATGGCTCCATATATACAAATGCGCATTCGTCGACAATGGTCGATATGGCGGCATCGCAATCTGCAACAATGCTTCTTGCCCTTTTATAAAGGCAATGCAAAGTCTTGCTGCAGTTGTCCAACACTATTGTGTCTGCAGAATCCTGGGCGATGACTTGCAGAGCGCCCAATAAATTCCTTAAATGCTGTAAACATAAAACACTAGATTAAAACTAGTAAGTATATATTAAAAAGTTAGAAAAACTACAAATGCAAGATGCATGAACATTCCCATATGCAATTAAAATTTCTGGTTAAAATATATACTCCTGTTGGTGGCAATTCAAGCACAAAGACAAAGACCAGGTTTGCTAAGTAATCCTTATAGGTATTCATAGGTACAAAAATTAAAATACTAACCAGATCTTCCATCTTGCTTGTATTTTCGAAGTCAAAATATTGAGGTATTCTGATCAAATGAATAATACAATTCACATTGGTTTTGAAGCGAGCCAACAGAATTGCTATCACAGGCATTAGATGTTTTGTGATATTTAATTTTTCTTCCTTCATTTGTTTTCTTTGTTTTAAACTTGGGACCTGTAAATATGAAAACTAATGAAATTTAGAAATAAAAAATAATGTTTAAACATATAATCAACACACTAGAAGAAGAAACAACTGGATAGTTTTACCCATTTGCATGTACTGACATTAAAACCAGGGCAGGGTACTTTTACTTGATCGGTTTAGATTTAGTTAATGTTGTACTTCTAATTGGACTTATAAATTATTGCCTTAAACGTTTGACGACTATCATGCTATAATATCAAATCAAGGAAACAGATATGTGTAGTACTAAAAGCAACAAACTGATTCCCACAAAACTATTCCATTGGTCATGAGTTCATACACAGTCCAAAAATGAAAAAAAAATCAAATTGTCTGGAGACCAAGAGCGTTTTGTTTATTTAATTGACCAGGAGAGCAGCTGCATATCAATTAAGTAGAGTCCTGTACTTGTAATTATCGACCATATTCGGATTCGTTGCGAATATTGTAACTTGAGATCATTTCTGGAAAATGCTTATTCTTGTCGCTTCCGTAAGTACCCCCCGCCAGTACATTAAAATAGGTCAAGTTACCTCAGTTTTATATATGCATCATTGCAATGCAATATTACCATATTATCAGTTGCTCTCTCCCCTGGATATTCACCAGTACTTGAAAGACTTGCACACAGAACATAATTTCAATTAAAATTTCTTGAGGTTGGGGGATTGGGGTCAAAGGATCATCATTTTCTTGAGTTAAAATATGTATCATCGAATTCCAATCTTTCATTATCTCAATGTTTCCAACTAGGGCATCCACTAGATATGAAATAAAATTTAAACCCTGAAAAATAATCAAAATAAAGAATAAAGATTCAAAAAAATTATTTATACGACATCCACATGACTATCATATATACATATTTTACTTACTTTCAATTCACTGATGAAAGTTGAAACATATCTGAACCATCGAACCCCAAACCCGGCCCCATTTGAATCTTCATCCAATCTTAAACAGACATGATGAAAAAATGTGCCTGCTGCCACTGCAACCTTTCGATTTGGAGAGAACATCAAACTTGAAACCGTGTTCAAGTCTTTCCTAGTGAATAAGTACGGATAGGACCTGAATGGACAAAAATGGATAATTAGCTATATCAGTCTTAACAGGTAATTACAGGGCATTCGTAGAAGTCGGGTTAAGAAGTTGAAGTACACCTTTCGTAATGGGGAAATGCTAAAATATAATAAGCGGCAGTCATTGCAATACCCCAGAAAGGGGCTTCAACCCATAGCGTCAACCATTATATATATACACATTTATATAATAAAAAATTATAAATTATATATTTATAATAGCATTAAAATATTTATAATATTTAAAAACAATAATGTAATTAAAGTCATACTTCAAATATGACATGATCGGTTTGTCATTGTAATTATCATTTAGAAATGAACCTTCATTAGAGAAATGAAGATTAATAAATTGCTGATTAATAACTTCTATAATATTTGTTGAGACAGTGGATTATGTCAAACAACGCCTAAACAAATATTGTTTTCGCAACTTCACTCTTCAATTAGAATTAACATACATTCATTTATTGCTTGTATTTTTTTACTTTATCGCTGGCAATATACTATTATTTTTTGAACAGCTGTAATATAAGATTGCTACTACCGTTGGGTGTTTACTGGGTTATCAACATCAAAAGTTTCATGCATATGTCTATTAAGTGAACATTTTTATTCTCAACTCTCACCTGAACATAGCCGTGACAAGCTTTATTGCAATCTCTTGATTGCATCGGCTCTTGTCCCAAGATAATCTAACAAGTCTTTGTTGATATTTTTGAGTGAACAATGTTAATTTGCTTGCTAATTTATCGTTCTCATATAACGGGAGCAAGGCTTTCAAAGCGCTTGCCCGTACTGATGCAGCCTGTGAAGATATGGAAAAAATCATTATTAGTAACTGCCTGAGGAGATTTTTATGTTCTCTTGACATTTCAAGATCGGCCTTTTCAAGAATCCTGAAAAAAGAAGGAAACTGGATTGGACCCGTTCTGTTCTAAAGAGTGCCTCCTGCACGACGTCGTGGATGGTAAAATAGAAGGGCTGAAGGGATTGGTAAAGAGAAAATACAGGGTACTGAAAACCGAAGTGCAGGATCAGAAAGCATGGATGAAAGACTACCATTTATTTATTATATATATATATATATATATATATATATATATATATATATACCTTGTCATAGACGAAAAATGCAAAAAGTCGCAAAGTCCACTCATTTAGGAATAGTCCCGGGTATTTTCTCAACAAGCGGCCCAATTCACGTATGCTCACACTTCTTGTGACAGGTGCGGTATCTCTGTAAATAAACTGATGTTTAAAAAATATTTTTTAACTTATGCGGTTCATGGAATTATGGTAGGTATAACAGCTATTCCTGGTGACATATTTTATTTTATATGGCAAAATGATTGATCTAGTGGTAATATCAAAAAACCAAACCGAGCTGCAGAACATGATGGACAGAATCGTCGAAATGGGTAGAAGATACGGAACGGAAATCAGCATCAACAAATTGGAAGTGATAAGAGTATCAAAACGAGATGATACTCTAAAGATAACAGTAGAAAATCAAAAATTGGAAGACGTTGATCATTTCAAATATTTAGGAAGCATTCTGACCAGAAACGAATACAGCACGAGAAACATCAGGACAAAGATCGCAAGCGCCAAGGTGGAGTTTGCGAAGTTGAGAACACTACTGAGAACCAACCAAGTCTCGACTTGTGGATGATATTGATAAATAAAATGTTATGTCTAGAGCATAGCTCTTTACGGATCAGGGACATGAACTCTAAGAAAAGCCGACAAGAACTATTTGGAGAGTTTTAAAATGTGGTGCGCAGGAGACAGGTGAATGGAGAAAATAAAGTGGACTGACAAGATAACAAAAGAATAAGTCCATAAAAGACTTCACTGAGAACGATCATGAAAAGAAAAGGAAACTGAATAGGACCCATTCAATTCAATCGAAAAAAGAGTGCCTCCTACACGACGTGGTCCAAGAATACATAATCCTGAACATATGCTTATTTAAGACATGATATGTTAAAGCAGGAGTCTACAAACAAAACTTAGATGTGTTATCCGAGAATTGGCCCATAAATGTCAAAATATCTTAATTCATGCGTTTATAAATTATATTCCTGTATAGGAACTTGATACACAATTCTAGTTCCCTATACTTTTCATTTAATTTATTCCTTTCTGAGTGAAGGGATTTTAAGCGACTCAGATCACGCCTTGTCTCCTTCGCTTCTTCGGCCTGAATTAGCTTCTAGTACTGATTCATTTCTGAAGATTGTTGAAGTAACCCTGCCAAGTCTGTAGTTATGGACAAGCCTGAATATATATATATATATAAAATCAGTAAATCAAATGGTAATTTTAAAATATTTTTTCAACTCTTTTGCCAATGTATTAATTTTTAATGTCTAGTGATGTTTAAATGTAACTTAAAAAATTTTAATATGTACAAAAATGTCTAGATATACATAAAAAATGTATATGTCGCCTACTGGCAAGGGTTAAAAATGTACAAAAATTAAAAAAAAATATCTACAAATGGCTACATATTTTTGAAATTGTCTAGAAATGTGTAAAATATATAGATATCTAAAAATATCTAAAAATCCATAGAAGAGTCTACGTATAAAAATCATTCTCACGAATACAATTTACCTGCCAATGTTGTCGTGTATCGTATATTTTTCTGACCCAATCTTGACAAATGTTTCAAGATTGAGGTCAGATTTTGTATAAAAAATCATCATAAATTATTTCTTTTCCACCCCTATTTATGACATTTTTGAAGAACTGACAAAACTCAATTTTAAAGCTTTTATGTTTTTTATTTTTTGAGAGGAGCGAAGGAAATCCTTCATCTTCCCACAAAAAAAACAATGAAAATAATAGAAGTGATACTCTGCAAAAGAAGAGAAACTTCGTAATGTGAAAATGAGATTGCAATGCTTATGTGCAGTCTGCAAGACCTTCAAAGACTATGCAACACTTTCAAACAGTCTACAATGTTCTAATAAATATTCTACAAATTATGGAATAATCCATAACATTTGAAAAACATTTTACATTCTAAAAAAAATCTAAAACAAAATTCAACATTCCTAATCTATGGCATTCTAAAACAATCGTTATTCAAACATTAGCTCACTTTGCATTGAACATTTAAAGCAACCTTGTTTAAAGTCGCATAAGAAGTTTCACTCGATAGTACATTCTGATATATTGCATTATCTATTATACCTGACAAGTCAATCTGAATCGTTTGAGAACAAGTTTTGGAATAAGTATGTTTGTGAGCCATTTTTTGAGCTTTTGTCGATGTTTTGTCAATAAATGCTGAACCGATTTCAAAAATATAAAAGCTTTTTGAATTAGCACGACCAGGATTGATTAGTTTTTATTGAATTCTTAACTGGCCCAAGGAGAAACAGTATGGATGGAGGATCTGCTTTTTTCTATAGCAAAGAAAATGAGTTTATCTATACCAGACCAGTGTTTTTTTTTAAATTATAATTTAAAAGAAAGTTCTCGCATTACTGCTATAGCAGAAATTGACACTATGATATATATATACATATATATATATAATATATATATATATATATATATATATATATATATATTTTGTCTACTTTATTAAATATTTAAACCCACACATAAAATGCTATCACCATGCCTGAATGCTGAATGAAGGCGCACTTCCTCAATTTCAAATTCATCAAAACCTTCAAACATGTCCATTGATAATTATTTCTTGAATACAAGAACACCTGAACTCTGGGACAAGTTATTTCCAATCTTCCACAAATTATTTATTGGTTTAACATATATTGCTAAATTTGTGAAGTCATATGATGGAAATGGAGACATGAGATGCAGCATGGATATTATAAAAATAAAAAGTGAATCTGAATAAAATCGATCTTGTAGTCACTCCACGATATTTAAAACCGATATTAACAATTTGTATTTACAATTGCAAATATTAAGAAAAATTTGGAGGGTAATTAATTACTATTTACTCATGCTATAAAATACATTTAACTACTTTTTATTATTCAACAGGCAACACATCATGTAATGCGTAAAATGTAATAGTATTGTCTTTGTTGTTGACAAATATTTCTAATTGGAAAACAACAGACACTCAAATACATATCAACAATACATACAAATTAATATATCAATATGGTAATTTGAATGTAAAATTATATAGTATGTATATCAGTATGAATTAAACATTTTTTACATCTTGCAAATATTTATATCTTCCAGTCAATATTTTTCATGCTAGAAATTTCAATAATTTAAATAAATAATTAAACTTTTGGTTCATGAACTGTCATCAGATTTTGTGAAAAGAAAAAAAAATTAATATTTACATAATTATTAAAGAATGAATGTAATTCATAATTATTAAATCAACATATTATTATTTTGAAATATTAAATACTAAAGACTTGCGTTTGATTTGTCATATACTATTATGTTGGTAATTCGAGTTTTTAAACAGCTCAAGAACTGACTGAAGTCGCGATAAAGTGTCAACAAGTTTTATTAAAAAAATTAATAGGTATATTATATTTGCATAATGTTTATTTTAATGTTTTAAAACACCATTTTAATTGTTCTTTTGATAATTAAATACTTTAACTAGTGGTGTATGGCATCGTGCCTTAAGGAAAATTGCCGGAACTTCTCGTACCGTAACGAAATATTAAATGTTTTCAAATTGATTTTAATAAATACTGTAACATTGTCAAATATTTATAAGTCACCGTCGCAGTACTGTGCGCCAAACACAGGAGTTTTCTTATTAAAATCGATAATTATGGAAACATCGCAGAAACCATCGCCTTTTCTAATTTTGATACGTGCCTTTAAAATTCTTCTGTACTGGGAGTCGTCTCAGTCTCTTCGAATCGACATTGGTATTTCTAAGAGTTTTCCGTTTTCTATCTAGTTCTGTTATATTATCTGGGCAAATGTTTGGAAAATAATATAACAGTTCAGAAATTGATGTGAATTTTTTTCTCAAATCAGTACTCAAAATTACTGCAAATATTATAGTTCTTGTCGTTTTTTATAATGAAATAGAAACCTCTGCTTTATTTGGTTTGCTGCCTCAATATTAAACTCATCCTCATCTAATCGGCCAGTTTCTCTTTTCAACCGAATTATATTTGGAATCATTCCTCTAGCATATATTTCTAATGAAGGTTTATGCATTTGCAAATCGTTTACATCTACGCTTAATACCTTTTGCTGTTTGGCATTCGAAATATTTTCTATCGTATTCAACTCTTCGTTTGAAAGTTCCATATATATCGGTTGAATGAAACATTCCAAAATTGTCCCATATTTGCTGTGAATATCATCTGATCATATAAAACGTGCAACTTTGGTTTTACTGCCTGCATTTCTACATTCAAATTTACGAATATTGGTAGAGCAAATAGCAGGAATTCCAGATATAATTCTGTTGTCGAGATTAGAGATTATTATTATTAGAGAGATTAGAGATTGCTATTTATATATGATATATTGGCGAAACAGGACTAAAACTTCTTAAACGTTTGAAACAACACGACAAACGATAATCGCAGACATTTAAAACATAACAACCATACGTTCAATTTTTTGACGCAAAGGTTTCTTCATCATGAGTCGAAAGTCTCACAAAGACGCTATGCGGAATCGATTTTTATTTTCTTAGCCAAACTTAGTATTAATAAGCGAACTGATACTCCTTTTCTCTACGAAAATTACCAATATGTTTTAAATGTTTCCCAATTTGTATCGAATACCTAACACCGCTCTATGCTTGATGTTACGCCTTCAAGAAATTAATATATAGATAACACAAACTTTTTAACAGTCATCTATCCAGATAATGAATAGAAAGAAAACTAAGATATGTTTCTTAAAATACATTTATTAGATCCATATTTCGAGTTTCATTTGATCTTCAGTGGAAACAAAACACACAAGTAATTAATACGCAAAACGCAAACAAAAACATGTCTTATGTATGTTAGTGTAAAATAAATATGAGTTATACTTCGTAAAAGAATTAATTGGAACAGTAATAATTCGGAACATCATATCTTGTAGAATAACAATAATTAATTAGTACATTCCTGAAATAAATACTTCAATTATAAATATATCACAGCAATAATTACAGCAATATAGAACTATAATTAAATAACAAAAACTTGCAAATGTTTTTATCAGAAGCGCGATTTTCGTTTCAAAACTTCATTATATGCAATTTGTTAATCCATAAGGTTCGAGTTTTATGAGAGTAACAATTAACGATTTTAAGTGAAATGTAATTTTTGAGGAGGCGACAAATCATGTACCCAAAATGTTAAATTACACATTTTTATATAAAAGAAACTGAAAAGTTGTATGGAAAACAAAACCTGAAATATATTAACCAGTAAAATTTATTCAAATGTTAAATTTGAATAATATTGTATATCGATTTGATAGAGTTTTGCAAGGCAGACCACCACATAAAAAGCATAACTTTTTCTCGAAAATGGTTTGCGAGCGACAAATATTTCCTCATAGATAATTAATTATTGAATCGTTTAATTTCATGTGCTACTATATGAACGTATTGATTTTATTTGTTCATGAGTT